AAGGAAGGAAGGAAGGAAGGAAGGAAGGAAGGAAGGAAGGAAGGAAAGTTGCATCTTTCTAAGCCCTAGGACTTAGAAATGTAGACAGACCCAACCTCATAGCAGCTTGTAGGGACTCCCAAACAAATATTAAAATTACTGAACACCTAGCATGGGCAGTTTTCCTGAAATACTATTCCTCATACCCCATCCCCATCACCTCAGGCATCAGTGTGTCAGTGGTCATCCTGCCTCAGGAAACTCTATTGTAAATAGCACCCGCATGTAAGGTGACCATATCCAGATAGTGACTAGATAAAAACAACTATAATATAGAATCTGCCCATAGGGTTGTAGAATCATCTCATTTTTGGTCCATAAGAAATCAAACAAAATATAGTTTCATAATCTACGTTTGACATGTTATGAGTATAGACCTGAGTTGGCCACTTTGTTTTTAGATTCAGTAAAACTTTCATAAATTTTAAAATATCAGTGGAATTAAAAATGTAAAGGGCTTTGCTCTATTTTGCAAGGAGGGGTGTGGGATTTTGCTGTGGAATTGTCGTCTGCATCAAGGCTACATGATTGAGAAAAGAATCTCTTAACAGGAAACACTGGCCCCAATTCAGAGAGCCACAGTGCAGACAATCCAGTTAGGCAGAAGTATAAGTTAAACAATTCTTCCTGGGGCTCAAGGGTCTACACACATCTGTACACACAAGCTTGCTTCTGCCAGGATGTGAAAACTGTTTTGTACGAATGGCTGTCTTCAGCATCACCCTGAACCAAGGGCAGAGCTAGAGGCCAAGCTAAGAAACAGTTCAGAGTCTTTGCTAAGCATTTTTATCCGTCAAGACCTATAAAACTAAGAAATCACAATCTAGACTCTGATCCACCTTCTGGATCAGAATTTATCTGCACTTCTGTAAACGGTGTTTTGCACAGCCATTCATCATAAAATTATGCTTTCTAAACCTGTCATCTTGGGGGGGTCCTTTCCTTATAACCTCCTAGCTTTTCTCTAGAATCGTGCATGTTAACTGCTAAGAAAAAACACAAAATAGGCTGGACTCATCCAAATGAACGCTCATTCTCCTTGGCACCAGGCACTGTAAGAACAGTGTCTGTATCTAGGATTTCAATCACATTCTTACTGTCAGAGCTTCAGGAATTCAACTGTTAATAATCCCAAGGGATATGATCACAGCTCACCCATGTGTTTGCTATTTCTGTATTATAAAACAGGGTTGAAATACAAGCAAGAACACAATTCTCCAATTAAATCCCCAATATTTAAAGTAAGATGGTCATAATTAGTTTGATGTCAGACTTCAGGACACAACATGATGTCAAGAGGCAGCTAAGGGTGTAACAGGAGGCAGCTTATAGTCAAGCAGTGAACAAGGAGCATGAACTGGCAGGTGTACTCCTAAATTACCACATAATTACAGTGAGGGAAAGGTGGGGGATGGGCAGTCCAGAGACTCTTACTTACATTTTAGTG